AAGACTGAGAGTTGTCTCAACGTCCACTGTAGTGGCAGACACCTGTATGGAACAAGTACATACTGTACATACAAGATTTTTAAGACAAAAGAAAATACAAAAAGGTAAATAATTAGAAAACAGAGAAAGAAAAAAGAAAACTTACATCTGCAAGAAGGATCAGCCTGCCATGAGCAGCTGAACAACACGAAGTGCCAGTTCATTATCTTCAGCCTTAGAGAGGACATCCTTGACAGCTTTGTTATTAGGTTTTCCCATGAAGTATTGAGTGATGGCCCTTCCACATTCTTCCGTACCAAGTTCCAAGCTACGAAGCACGTCGATGTCTGTAAGCAACTCAAAATGTGCATATATACACCTTGGCATGAAAAGAAAAGGCCATTTGCTTTTCAGATCTTCAGTGTCAGGTGGTGGAAGTGTATTTATATGGCGACGTTGTAGAGCGAATGTGAGCTCCATTAGTTTTTTGTTTTTTTTATACTTATTTTTTATTGAACATTTCTGAACACATACAGTGGAGAGGCAACAATACATTCAACTTCATACACAATGTTGGAGAAATGTGTCAATATTTAGCTGGTTATGAGAGTGGCATTCTCCTTGCGTCTGTATTCGCTCCATTTTTCCCATTTAACATCAAACTTGTCCTCCTGCAGTCTTAGTCTATGTGTGATTTTCTCCATTATGAAAATCTCTTCCACAATGCTCAGCCACTGCTCCACTGCAGGAGGGTCATGTCTATACCATCATTTTGTGATGGTTTTCCTTGATGCAGAAAGTAATATTTTCAACAGATATTCATCGTCCTTTTGAATTACATCGTGTGTGAGGCATCCCAGGTAGAGTGTTTTACATGATCTGGGTATTCCGTATCCCAATATGTTTTTCAAGGTAAGGCTAACATTATGCCAGTATGTGGTTAGCTTTTGACAAGACCAGAATATGTGTGTGTGGCCTACATCAGTCTGGCCACAGAGTCTCCAGCATGGCTGTGAACTGGATACCATCCCGGATTTGATCTTTGGTGTTATAAAAAATCTAATCATGTTTTTCCAATTAAATTCCCTCCACACACGGGAGCTGGTGGCCGTGTACTGCATTTTACAAATTTTGAACCATTCCTCCTCGCTTATGTGCTCCTTCAATTCGTCCTCCCATTTTCCTTTGATGTACATAGTAGATGTCTTCCTGCCTGCCATCATTCCCTGGTATAGTGCTGAAATAACCCGCAATTTATTCCCCTCATAGGCCTTATGAAATATCTCAATTATTTCACTTACATTGGTTTTTATCTCTTTCTCATAATAATCTTTTATTTGCAGGTACCTATACTGGTCTTGATCCTCCAGTCCATATTTTCCCTTTAAGCTATTAAAGCTCAACAGATTGTCCTTTTTAGTCAATTTACACATTGATGTGGCACCTTTATCTGCCCATTGTTTGAAACCTGCATCATAAATACCTGGTTTAAACCTCGGGTCCCAAGCAAACCAGCTCAAACTCTTTGTTTGTTTCTCTAAATTGTAATTATCAATCACTGTGTTCCATATTTCAATCGTAGTTTTAGTTATTGAATCTAGCTTATTGCTTAGTTTGCCTAAGAGTGTTTTATGTGCTATTAGATTTTTAACTTCTACGTCTTTTCTACTTATTTCCATATTTTTCCATTTTGAAGCATAGTCATCATTGCACCAACATACCACGGGTCTAATTTGTGCGGCCCAGAAATATTCTTTCAGGGCTGGTAAACCCAGGCCTCCTTTATCTTAGTTTGATATCTAACCCTAAGTTTCTTCCCGTTCCATATAAACCTCGAAATCCATCTGTCCCATTCTACAAATTGTTTTTGCGGGATAATCAGTGGCAGGGACTGAAACAGGTATAACAGTCGTGGTAAAATATCTATTTTAATTATCTCCACTCTAGAGCTAAGATCCAAGCCAATGTCCATCCATCGCCCCAGGTCTTTTATTAATAGTGTGGTTTATTTTTAAATAATTTGCATCATAGAGTTTGTCAATTGTTTTGTACGGAAGAGGATTAGGGCCACTGAAAGAAAAAATTATGGCCCAGAAAAAAATAAAAAATCTCTGAAATTTTCATGTAAAAAAAGAAATAAAAAAAAATTTAGCGTTCCAGAAAAAAATAAAAAAATTCAGTGTCCCAGAAAAATGAAAAAAAAATATTTCAGTGTCCCAGAAAAAAATTCATAAATAAAAAATCCGTGGCCCAGAAAAAAATAAAATAAAAATTCAGTGTCCCAGAAAAAAAATCTCAGAAACCAGAATTCTGACTGATGGGCGCCAACAAGCAACCAGCTTCAGAACCACAGACGCGAGTTGTGGCGGTCGGACAGCTAACGTTCTGGAGAAAATGAGTTATTTAAGTGAGTTTTTACGTGCCAGAGGAGTCCCCGAAGCTGCTATAGCAGTAATGGAAGAACAAAAGGTGAGTCAATCAAATGAGATAGTTTGGTGTCTAAAGCTGAACAGTTATGGCTAGTAGTTAGCAT